GAATAGTATAGTTTTCTATTCTGTAGAGCAGCCTGCAAAAATGAGTTACACACGTTTCTGATGGGATTCATCTAAAAACACAATGTTCGTCCTGTACAAACATTTTCCTATCTACAGTATGTTGATCCACAGACTGAGTCATGCAAATGAACGTTTTCAGTGACACAGTACAAATTGTACGCTTGTCTTTTTTTCATTTTAAGCAGCAAATACAACAAGGGGGGCTGATGCAAGTTGTCAACATGCTCCAAAGCATTGATAAAACTGTCAAGTGATGGGCTAAGCTGGGCTGAGTAGCCACCTCTCATCTGCCTCCTTTCTTAAATTCTTCCATCAGAGGACAGTGCCACTGGAGTGTGGCCATGGTAGGTGAATGAACTCTGGACACCCCTGAGTAACTCCAGGTGGCTAAAGGCCACTGAACCATGACATAACTGCTGTGAGATTAATACTGACGAATCTGTGTGCCTGTAATTTGTGCAAACATCACCTTTGCATGTGCAAACTCACACACACATTTCATGCCACGCACGTTGTCACACGTTTTCACACTTCGTGCTTAGGGGTTAGGGGGATGCACACATTGAAATTGCCCCAGAGGAATCGTAAGCTCAGGCATTTTCAACAAGCATGTCCCAGCTACTTGTGTCATCCTAGTTAGACAGGTGAAATGCTTAGCATTGTGTAACTAATTATGTAAAATACGTGCACTACATTACTAAAATATTTCAGTACAATGTAATATATTTTGTACTATATTTTAAAAGCAGCATGATTTCCTCGGTCCATGATGTTTTATAAAGGTATTATATGATTGTGCTTCTCAACTTTTTTTCTCTTTCATTTTCAAAGTGCTTCTCAACTTTTTTTCTGTTTCATTTTCAAACTGCTTAATAAATGGAGGTAGTGGTATTCATTGCTGACAATAAAAAACTGCAGTATCCTAGTCTCTTCCATCTTAGTCATAAGAAACAGTCAGATGTTTCCACACAGGGCAGTTTCAATACAGGGCATATATGTCTGAGCTGAGCAACAGCACAGACTTTGGAACACTTTCTTTCTAAAAAACAATTGTTTTTTGGGTGTTGCTTTTACATTTAGCAACTCAAAGGAAAAAGATGATTTCTGTATAATACATTTGTAGGTAGTGCGCTCACTGACCATAGCATGATGCCTTTATATACACATGCTCAAATGTCTTAAAGAACACTAGTGAGCTTTGCTGGTACTGGTGGCATCGTCTCAGTCTGATTTGTTCTTGTGTTTTCATGCTGTTATGTTTTTTGTAATGCCATGATCCTAACCAGGACTGAAAGTGGATTGATGAATGTTTTCTGTAAACTAAAGAGCTTCTTTTCAATGCTAAAACTGATGGAGGGCAATCTTTGCAGACAATAGTACTCAATGGTCAGCCTGTAGAGGTTGTGGGGAGTCTATGGGAATGCATATTGATCAGAGGCATAGTTACACTGAGAATACAGACAATATTTTTTAAAAAGCACATCAGAGATGTTTTTAATTCAAAGACTCGAGAACTTTAATGTTCTAATTTCATAATATCCTAGAGATGGCATATAAAAGCCTTGTTGAGAGCATCCTGGGATTTAACATGACAGTGTGGTATGGAAACCTAAACTGTCCCGGATTGTGAAAATGGCAGGAAAAATAACTGGGAAACAGCAGCCCCAGCTCTGCAACTTATATCATAGTACAGTTCTCAGAATGCCCAGGAACATCACAGCTGACTCCACACATCCACTCCATTCCCAATTCCTAATCTTCCCATCAGGAAGACGGTATAGGGTACCAAATTGAAATAAAAACATTTATAAGAAGTCCTTTGTCCCCTCTGCAATAAAACTACTTAAGGAAGGTATGTAAATGTAGTCTCCCCTCTAAATATTTATTTATCCATCTATTTATGTATCACATACTGTTGTTGTGATTTTATGTGACTCTTGTGTTTTGCTTGTGTGTTTTGTACTTCTGTGAAAGAAGCCAAAGACAAACTTCCACAGCAGTGGACAATAAAGTATCTATTTTTGTAATATATGACTGCCTGCTGGTCTGGCTTGTAGTTTATATGTTCACCTATGCATAACAATTTTTATCTAGCATATACTGTAAATTATGAAGAAAGAAAATACTTGGAAACCTGAATGATTTGGGAATGAAAGGCTAAAAGCGCACTCTCAGTAGAATTGCTGTCTATATAGATCGATGTTAGAATTATAGTTATTGGAGCCTGACTCCAATTTAGCCAAGGAAACCTATCATAGTATTTTCACCCCATAGTGATTTTGTCTGCTGCTTACCAAGACATCTCCACTGTCAGTGAAGGGGCTATACTTCAAAGCCTGTGTACTCATTCCCAAATGGAAATAATTACCCCTGCTGTAATTTTGGACTCATTGAGAAGTGTGGCTCAGCTAGAGCACACAATAAAAAGCTTTCTGAATCACTACTACTGATGCTACTGATGGTGAGCCACATGAGACAAGTGGTTTATGATGACAGGACCAGTGTCACATGGAACAAAAAATCCTTGTTTCTTGGCACTCTTTGAAGAAAGAGATGGGCTCCAGCAGTAGAACGTCACCCTTGAGTCTTTTGCTGGTAGCATCTTTCTCAATCTTGTTTTTTTTTTCTTCTAACAAATTGTAGAATTGAGAGTTGAAAATGTTTGACTCAGTTTAAAGCTTTCTGCATGTTGAGGAAACTCATACAGCAAAAGATATGGAGGAAAGTACTGTAAGTGGATCAGAGCATCCGATATAAAGGTATGACTACACAGAGGCAAAGTCCCAAATAAAAGTATTACTTTTAAAGCAAGCTGGTTTGTTCCACTTTCCCCTGTGGTTTAGGACCTATTTATTCAGGATGCAGTACACAACATTGTTTGCTTTTTTCAAGTAGGGTTGTTTTGTTTCACAGTTTTTACAGCACTGCCAGTCTTTAGGTTATCAGTTTGTAACACAAAATAATCTCTAAAAGCTTCCCAAACAAATTGTTGTTAGAATTTAATAGCAATAATATTATTTATGCCTTTGTCTAACTTCTTTACTGCAATATTTCTTTTGTAGAACAAGTGTTTGCTTTCTTACACAGTAAAAAGAGAAATCCTAAATCCTAAATCCAACTAAATATGTTGAAACTAAAAGAATAATAAGATCACTTTATCTGGGTAGTCCTTTCACTCACCAAGTAATTGCAAAAATACACACTTCATACCACACTTACAGTACAGTATGTAAGTACAGTTTGTTGAATAAGGTAAATAATATATAGGACTGGATTAGAAATATGAGCAAGACATTACTGTCTCAGTATTATATTACAGTATGTTTCCTTTCCAAGTAAGTGGAACCACACCAGAGTTCTTCTACAACAATTTCCAGATCAGGATGTTTGTGCTCCTCTTAAGGACCTTAAAACAAAGGCACAGTGTGCTCTTTCCACAAAATGAATAAAAGCCAATTTAAAAAAAAAATGTTCAATACTGACTTTATACATTAGGCCCAGTTGGACAGTGTTTGAAAGAACTAGGATGAACGTTTTGGTTTTCATCGACCGCAAGATCTGTAATCACTTTGATGTGTGCCTATGAAACCTGCTGATTTTATAGTGGTTTGGTTTAAAAACCTGCCATATGAACGATGTAGCCGGGGGACAAATGTACAAAGGCTTTATGCAGAGTGCCCAGGGAGGCAGTGTTCTAAGAGAGTAATGTGCAATGTGGTGTGCAGACTTTCAGTTCATGTATGCCAACACTGTAAAGTGACCCCTCTTTTTGACACTGACATTACATTTCATCTCTGCATCCCCAAGTTAGGTTTACTCTAGTGGCAGGCCTGGAGAGAGAGACTGCAGCAGATACAGGGACTGGCAAGTATTTGGAGCTTACAAACTGTAAATGTTGTGTCTCAACTTGTTTTATCTGTGGCACACTGACAGATTCCAGCTCCATTCGCCAGGAGCGAGTCAATATGTGTTTCATTCATGACTCTTCAGCGTGAAATGCAAGAAGACTGGGATTAGCACTGTTTAAATCAGACAAACTAAACGATTTTTTTCCCTTGAAGAAAAACACATTTGTCTTGTTACTGACCGCCACTTTTCTTTCAGAAATTAGTTGCTTGAAACTATGAAGAGTTATTTACTCTAATTTCGTATTTACGATTTTGTTTATTCATTTTGAGTGAACTAGGCTGTTAAAAGATCATTCATAGGATATACTATATACTATATATCGTATAGTTTTGACTAACATTTATTTCTTGGAAAAAGATAAACCTAAGTATGTCTTAAAATAATATATATGTATGTATGGTTCGAAAATAAAGATTTTGAAGACGTTAATTAGAATTTTTAAAGGAAGCCATACTCCGTTAGAAAAGTTGTTTCTCTGTGTTTGTCAGTAGAACTTAAAAAAAAAACTCCGCGTTTAAAAAATGAATTTAAAGAGCCCGGGGTCAGGTGAGAAAATTATATTACGTAACTCCAGTATCAAAACATTACCTCGTGTGTGGCGTAGTCTATATAATACTCGACATAGTCAGCTCGGTCTAAAATTATATTGGTTTATTTAGCCAGGCTAAAGAATTATGTATCGGGTTATGCCCTAGCTACGGTATAGTTACAGGGGGTGGAAGGTAAATATTTATGAAGTCATGGACAATTTGACTAAGGGTGAGATACTATGAGAATATGAAGGCTCAGTCCTTTAATGATTATTAATGTATTACTGAGTATTATTAAAGAAATCAATTTTCACGACTGGTTTGCATAGAAAGATGAGAGGTATGTAAAACTAGTTTAACAACAACAACTATAATTTATTTTGGTTATATTTTGTCTTTTGAAATTTCGATATACAGTTCTACGCCTGAAATCCGCATTTCTCCACCACGGCTGAATATTGCTTTAATTTCGGATTTACGGTTAAATACCGCCACATAGCGGAACCTGCACGTAAAACCACATCCATGGAGACCCGGAAACAGTCGCTTGACCTTTCCCACGGGCTCCAGCGTGCTTCCTTTGAGAGCGAGACCATCATGGCGTCCTGCAGTGTGGAAGACGTGCTCGCCAGAGCCGAGAAAGAAGAAGCCGAAAAACTCAAAAGCATCTCGGTCCACAAAGAACTCGAACTCGAGTTCGACCTGGGGAACTTGCTTGCATCTGATAAAAATCCTCCCGACGTCCGAGAGTTCAAGCAGCAGAAAAAAGAGGAGTTCCTGCGCTCTCTCGCCCGGGGCAACACGCAGCTGCTCATCAATGAGCTCTGGAAGTTGCCCACAGAGAGGGTCGAGGAGGTGATAGTGGCCAAGCTACCCGACCCTTCCACTCGGCTGCCGAGAGAGAAACCGGTGCCTAAACCCAGGGCGCCGACCAAATGGGAGGAATTCGCCAAGCTGAAGGGGATCCAGAAGAAGAAGAAAACCAACCTGGTGTGGGACGACGTACACAAGGAGTGGAAAAGGCGGTGGGGCTACAAGAGAGCTAATGACGACACCAAAGAGTGGCTGATCGAGGTTCCCGCGACCGCCGACCCCAACGAGGACCAGTTCGCCAAGCGCGTAAAGGCCAAGAAGGAGAGGGTGGCCAAAAACGAGCTGAACCGGCTGAAGAACATCGCCCGGGCGCAGAAGATCAAAGTGCCCGGCGCTGGGCTGACGCCCGCCAGCCAGCAGTCGAAAGCGGAGCTGCAGATGGCCATGCAGGTGGCCAAGACATCCACGGCCTCCGTGGGTAAGTTTCAAGACCGTCTACCCAAGGAGAAGCCGGCTAGAAACACGGGGAAGAAAAGGAAGTTTCAGCCCCTCATCGGCGACTTCTCCAGCGAGAAGCAGAAACAGCTGGACATGCTCAAGATCATGGACGGCAAGAAACCCAGGCTGGACATCACCAAAGCCGTCAACAAGCAGATGAGGGAAGAGGATGTGGAGTCGGGGTCCAAGAGGAGGAAAACGCCAGGGAAAAAGGGCCGCAAGGGTAACTTTTCTGGGAAAGGAAAGGGGAAAAAGGGACGCGCTGGAGGCGGAGGCAAGAACAGAAAGCCACGCATGAAGCAAGGGAAGCGATAGAGGCGCCACGGGCTTCTCGCGTTTTGCCTGGCGTGGAAGAGGAGCGTGTCTAGATGCAGTCGTCATTCGGTGTTCTGTACAGAACGAACTTTTTCTACAAACCTTGGTGCCTTGTTCCCCCCCAAAGAAATAACCGTGAGGCCCCGTGGAACTGGTTTCACGTTTAATGGGACGCACATCAATGAACTGTGCACTGGGTTAAATATTTTTGTATCCGATGGTTAATAGGACACATGATACGATAGTTCAGGTGCGTAGCTGCGTCAGCTGCAAAGGAACAAGTAATAGGTTTATTCCCTGCTGAGAAGTGACGAAAGGAAACAACGTTTCGGCTGGAAGACTCTTTAACTCTTACACCCGAAGAATGCTCCGCCCTGCCGAAACGTTGTTTCCTTTCTTCTCTTTTCAGCATGGAGTAACCCTATTGTTCCTCCACATGATACGATGCCTTGCTTTGCTTCTTTTGCAGTGTACGGTAGTGTGCGTGACAATTCGCTGGATGAGTGAAATTTCTCTCGACTGAATATTAAGTCTCTCCGTAGAATCGTGTGTTGTTTTCGCTTTGAGCTCTGAAAGCCCTTCGTCCAAATTGTTTTTTGTTCATTTGCCTCATGTAGAATGCCCATCTGTTAACAAATGATAAATGGGTGTAAATGTAGAAGACCTTATCGTGAGCCTAAATGTAGTTCAGATTCTATTGTACAGCAGCATGTTTTAATTGATATTCGAGTTGCATTCTCTTTTACATCAGGTATTTATGAAACAGAAGAGTTGATATAATTGCAGCCTTAGTCTTGACCTAGATTCAGTCAAAATAAGCTAGTGATATCTGGTACCTGATACAGCTGTAACTGCTGTGCAGTGGAAATCTGTCTTGCCTGTCATTTTGTCGGTTTTATGATTGGCCTTGGTCTAACTTTAGGTTAGGTTAACTTTAGATCTAACTTGCTGACCTGACTGGGTGAAATTCACTTGATTACAGGCCCTAGATGGGCTCTATACTATCATGACACATACAATGGGGGACTGTGTTTTCAGCTTCTGACAGGGAATAACAAATATTCAAAGTTGTGTACTACTTGTATTCTGAATACATTCTGCGTGTGATAGTATTTTTACAGTTAATGGACTCTTTTATGTCTTCAAAGATGGTTTTTGTAATGTCTTTCTAGTTTGTTTGAAGGGCTTAAAGGGTGGTAATATGAAGGCCCAGCATTCGTATATGTGCCTAAAGTTAAGAAAATTAAGTGTCGGACTTGGGAATCTGAATATTTAAGGTGTGCATAAGCCTAATTTTGCTGCTGTCTGAAGAGTAAATATTACAGAATGTATTTGAAGTTGGTGGCTTATGAATAAACGTTCACCAAACAGTTGCTGTGGAAATGTTCATTTTCTTTGTATAATCTTAATTACTTACTACTGTATGTTTGAGTGGTGCTGTTTTAATAATCACTAGTGTTCATTGTTACAGTGGTAACCTTATGTCATTTAAGATCTGAAATCTATGCAAATTGTATGAGAGAATCGGATTCCCCTCTTGAAAACAAACATTTAAGCTAAAGTGAAGTTTGAAGATAAGAGATTAAAACTCTGTTAATATACATTTTAATGCTGTTTTGGTGTACTTCTAGAACTTGGCCTTGTAATCTTATCAACATGTTATTAATCTTATTAGCCCTAACCTTGTGGTGGAGACTAAAATTGGTCTACAGATAAGTAAATGTGTAAGAGGAATGCCACAGTTACTATGACAACGGCTAAGTTTGGGTTTCCCTAGGTTAAGGGTTCCTAATGCTGGTTCTGGGGAGTTCAAAACCAGCAGCTTTTATAAGTAATCATTAAACCATCACTTTCTACACGACCTGGCTTGACAAGTGATCAATTAAAAACGATGTGTTGATTAATTTAGAAAGAACTTGTGGCAAACATCAGAATCCCCTGAAATTCTCAAGGGGTGAAGTTCCCTTAATTGGACCAATGTGTTTAATTTATCACTGCTGCTTCTGCCCTATAAAATCGGGTAGCTGAGGATGTCCTGTAAGACCAAACGGCGCGACTGTCTTGCGTGCAGATCTTTTGCAAGTTATTGGAAGAGCTGTGTGCCTTTCGTACCGCTAGAGGTCGTCGCAGCTTCAACAAAACTTAACACGGACAGGCAGAAATTGTCCTTTCTCTCCAGTCAAAACTTTCTGTACAGTAAATACACTAGACACTGATGTCCAATGTATTGAGTGTCAGCCACATCTTGGGTCTCAAAACGAGAAGAAGTTTTAAAAAGACGTCGATACAACTGTATTTTAATGTGCTGACTTATTGAGTACTGCAGAAAATGAGGCTTCAGGGTCCCCAAGTAGCACCAGTCGTGAACAGCACATAATCGGAATTAAAATTAACCTACAGCTGCTTTATGACTTTTTTTTATATAAATTATCGAAATTAATTTACATAAATTGTCTAAATGTTCATTTACACTAGAGAACGACACGTTAATGTCCACTGCTGAGATGCCGGTGTACTAGAGAAGTCTAAAATGCCAAATAAATATAAACAGAACAAAATGTTGTGATCATGTTAACGTGCAGCGCTATGGTTTCGCCTCAACGGTCCTCCTATATCCCACAATTCTTCCGCCGGAGAGCCCCTGGAAGACTTCGCCTGCAATGGCAGGACGTGAGAGAGTCGTGCAGTTGCTCAGGCAATTGGAAAGGGCTGCGTAAGTTTCTTTGCAGAAATCCGAAAATGGGGTTTACGGGTTATACAGAAACGTCTCCACCTGTAAACATGCTAATGTTTGCTTACGCAGTAACGCATACTTACCCAATCGTGCTACTTGCTTACATGTGTGCAATTCCTAGAGCCACGTAATTCAGAGAAAAAAAAACATAATTCGGTAATATTCAAGATTATTTGTTCGTCTGTTTAAAAAAATATTAATTGTGGTTGTTCCTTAGAACGATCCTTAAAAACAGTCATACATTCAGTCGATAAAGCGACTTGTTGAAAGAAAAGCTGAAGTTACACTTCAAAGTAACGACTTTGCAGGCGAGTGTAGAACAGAACGTGCACAAACCCCAGCCATGCGAGAGGTGTCATTTTTTGACAGATGGGTGGCCTTCAAGTTGGGATAATTATGCATTAGTCTTAAAAGCAGAATTCAATAAATTACCACATGTAAAAGCATGTATAGTAAATATTTAAATAAAATATGTACACTATTTGATTTTTGAATTGTTCTTTTCCTGTTTTGTCACAGGTGCAGATGTCCTGCACATTCTCACAGCTATTATCAAGGTATTTTGTAATACGAAGTTGCGTTAAAGCTGAACCCGGTACTGTTGCCAAATGACAAAGGATTACAATTATTCTGAAGTAAAAATGGCGTGTTTAAAAATCTTCAGCTGGGACCTATGGCTGAAGTTGAAACAGGACAGAAGATTAATAAAAACAAAGCAGAAAATGAGGAAAACTGCAAAAAATGAAATTATAGATTTATATTGTAGTTTTGTTGCTGATCTGTTAATCTTAGATCTACACTCTGGTAGAAAATATTAGATTTATTCAGATTCAGTATACTGTACATTCCAGTTCTCTCTCTACAGTTTTAACTTTCCTTTTCATGACAAAGTTCAATCTGTGTTCTAGCTTCAGGGCATACATCAAGTGGAAAAACAACAGACTATGCATTTGAGGTATGTGATTTTAAATTGTAAATTCAGTAGATTCAAAGTTGTGCTTAAGGCCTGCAAACTAGTGCTGAAACATTTTTACTCTACCTGCTTATATTTCAGATGGCCTGCTCAAACATCAGATATGGAGAAGGGGTTACCAGAGAAATTGGAATGGTAATGGGGTTTTTTTTTCATAAATTTGTGAGGTTAAATCCATCTCTCTCTTGGTATATGCCAAACATGACCAGCTTATTTAAGTTGTTTTCACTGATAAATTACTTTTTTAGAGTTAGTTACAATATTGCACTGAAGATCTGAAAAGGTCCTTCGGCCCCTCTAGCCTGTTTAGCAGTTAGTTGTTAATTGTTCGGTGGGCCCATCCGGATGTTTCTTGAAAGTTTCGTTTTCAGCTACATGGCATGGTAGTTTGTTCCAGACTCCTACAGTCAGCAGTTACTGCTGTTATCGGTTTCAAATGCACTTCCATATCATTTCTATGGTATATCATTTCTGCTTGTGTTCTCTAATTGGCGTTCATTCTGAAGAAAGCCTTTGAGGATTTTGAATACATTATTATTATTAATTCCTTAGACTTATATAGCACTTTTCTGGACACTCCACTCAGAGTGCTTTACAGGCAGTGGGGACTCTGCTCCACCACCAGTGTACTCCCACTTGATGAATACATGTATCAAGTCCCCTGATTACCTTGTCTAATGAAGACAGAAAGTGTTTAGTTCCTTCAGCCTGTCAAGGTAGACCATTTCCTTAAGCCCCAGTTTGCATCTGGAATGTTAGGTACTTAACCCAATACCACTAAACAATATACTAGGTCTGTGTAGAGTTCTTAAGTTGGCAGACATGTTTATCTAAAGTGACTTTCAATCACATGCGTTAAACTCCTGTCTCAAAAGGTGCATACTGTATAATAATAGCAGATGTTTATATTTGCTATATATAGGATTCTAACATTAATTCCAGTTATTCATTAGAATCCATATTATAAAGCAAATATATATTTGGTTAGCATACAAAAAATCAGAAGAGAGGTGGACTGAACCTTTACTAATTAGTAAGTGTTAATAAGGGTTTAACACAAATTACAATTGTTGCTGTTTATTTGTTGTACTGTTTTATATTTTACACATGCATATTCACCATGTGGATTTAAGAAAAAACAAGACGTTTCATCTTTATTCTGCTGGGTTATGCAGGACCTCCTGAACCTGGGATCTAGGAATGTGTGCTTGATGACGGATAAGAACCTGTCTCAGCTGCCCCCTCTCACAGCTGTCCTGGACTCTCTGGTGAAACATGGGGTTCGTTTCAAGTGTTATGACAAGGTGCGGGTGGAGCCCACAGATGCCAGGTCAGCTCACTCTTAGCTCCTCATGTTTTCCTTATGATTCAGTTGACTGTCCCTAAGTGACAGTTCTCCATAAGAGCTGAGATTTCAGGACACCCGTGAGTCCAGTGAGCCAGCAATGACACATTCTGGGCTTCAGGATCGGTGCTTCAGGGCCCGATGTCGCGTGTCATTTTTAGGGATGTGCACCTTCCAGCAACACAGCTCTCTGCAGACTGTCTACAAGTTGTGTACTTATGTTCAAGTTTTGTCACTCCATACCATCGTGCTATCATGCCTTATTATCCAGTTTGAGATTTATTTAGAAACAGCTCTGACAACAACGAGTTTTAAAAGCTCATTTTACAGATTTGAGCAGAAACATGTCTTTCAGTGCTTTTCTTTTTTTGTTACAGCTTTAAGGAGGCTATCGATTTTGCACGGAAAGGGGAGTTTGATGCCTATGTAGCTGTAGGAGGGGGGTCTGTGATTGACACCTGCAAAGTAGCCAATTTGTATGACTGCCACCCAGAGGCCGATTTCCTTGATTTTGTCAACGCTCCCATTGGGAAGGGAAAGGCAGTCACAGCTGTGCTCAAGCCACTGATCGCAGGTATTGTTAAAGATAAGATTTTAAATCACTGCCTTTAGATTAGAGATGAGCAACATGAAAGGGCCTCAGACTCCTAATTTTCATTTGATCTCTGACATCTTAATTAAACTACTGAGCAAGTTAATTGGGTAAGAAGCCAAATCACCTGTTTTAAGTCTCTTTTGACTTCATTTTCTTAAGAGTCCTATGCTGTTAGGACATACAGAGTCACAAGTGAGCAGTATTTACACTCTCAACAAAAGACTTGAGAATGAATGGAACGTAACGTATTTAATTTTCTGAACAGTGCTGTAAATACAGGTATTGGTTGTGGTTCTTCTAGTGCCAACAACAGCTGGGACGGGGAGTGAAACAACTGGAGTGGCAATATTTGACTTTGAGAGTTTGAAAGCAAAAACTGGTAGGTACTGTACATTCCTTTGCCTTCGAGAAGCTTTTTTATTTAAATAAACATTTATTATTTATTTAATTGTGATTATTATATTTTTTATTTGAAGTTATTAATTCTGTTTTTATTTGACTGAAATCAAACATAATCTACATATGCAGTGTTTGTAAGCAGACTGTCAATTACCAATGAATGTGCTGCAGTATTCCTCATACAGATGTACTTTTTCCCTCTGTGCTTGTGTATCAATTGTCCATTGCTAAGGTATTGCTAGCAGAGCTATCAAACCGACACTTGGGATGGTGGATCCTTTGCACACTCTTCACATGCCCCAGAGAGTCGCTGCTAACAGTGGCTTTGACGTGCTGTGGTATGTATTAAACTATGATTACCTTTGATGACTTTTGGCATGAACTGTGAACTTTTTAATAACAAGCTCCCTAACACTGGCTTCTCGACCTGAAAGGAGAAAGATACTTAATTTTACAAAATGAAATCCGTGACCTGTTGTCACTTCTACTTTTCTTTTCACTTTTTTACAGGATTATTTCTCACCTTAAAAATGTGTTGATCATACTGTGGAGATACTGGAAGTACAAATGAAGCTTTCATCAGGCAGACTGCAGTCATTGTGGGCAATGGCAGCATTACTGGCAAATGGAGAAAGATAAGGGAGGAGGAGATTAATAGGGTTAGATGCATCTGGGAGACAGATGGTGTCTGTAATTTTATGGTCTGTGAAAACACATTATTGTTTGTAATTGTCAAGTTTTTTGGTGTAAGAATTGGGACAGTGGCGTCTCAGTTTTTTGGATCCTGGGTTAAGTTGAAGACCAAGGAGGTGTGGAGGTTGGATGTTCTTCCCAGGTTCATATGGGATTTCTCCAAATGCTCTGATTTCCTCCCACGTGCTGGCTAGGTTAATTGGTGTCCCTAAATGTGTGGGTGTGCCTTCTGAACTCCAAAGTGCTGTGCTTCCAATGTTCCCAGGAAATTATTCCAGGAATAAGGAGTAAGCAGTTTTCTCATAATGAATGGTTAGTGTAAGAATAGCAAACATGCTCTGTACACGACAAAAGTAGGTCAGAAATATGTGTCTGTTTTAGAACAGGCTTTCACATTTCTTTATGAAATGTAAAAAAATCACGGGGCCAGAGATGTTGTTTTATTGTAAAGGGAATTAAAGCATGTAATCACGTCAACTCGGCAAGCTTCTTTCCATCCTATGAGCCACGTTAGAGAGGCTGTTAACATCAGCACGAGCTGCTCCTGTCAACCTCACTGCAGGGGTCGGTGGTGCCTGCCAGTTCTTTATGTTGAAAACGCCACCATATCCATGACTCCTGTTGGTTTCTCATTAGCATAACATTGTCATTTTCCCTGTTGAAGAAAGGGGAAGAAGGGGACTGAGATGTTTTTTGGTCTCTGTGCATAGCCATGCCCTGGAATCGTATACAGCCCTGCCGTACAGCCTGCGTAGCCCCTGTCCCACCAACCCTATCCACAGGCCTGCTTACCAGGGCAGCAACCCCATCAGTGACGTCTGGTCCAGACACGCCCTCCGCATTGTGGCGAAGTACCTGAAGCGGTATGTAACGGGCACTCCGCTCTCCTTTATTGGGTGTCTTTCTGCTTATGGTGTTTTTATTTTAATACCAGTGTATTGTGGAGTTTCCTTTTAGGACAGACTTGGTCTGTCACTAGTAAACTAAGGGAGGAACGTTTTGCTTCTGTTTGACCACATGGCTCAGCGTAGATTTTCCTACATAGTTGACAACTCCACAATTAACTGCAACAAGAAAACTTGACAACATAATTACAACTTTATATGAAGTTTATGTTCTTTATATAAGCTTAGATTTATGTTTTTTATACATAGTACACTTTATATGCATCATTTATGTTTGTGTTTTAATGAATTTACGTTTTTGAACAGTGGAATGACATGACATGACATGACATACCAGCTGCAGTGACATGCTGAAAAAGTGTGCTGCTCAGCACTTAGTTTGGACAAGCGCTCCTGCCGTGGGCTGGAAAGGTTACAGCCTGTGATTCTGTCTGCAGGGCAGTGAGGGATCCGGGGGACCTGGAGGCCCGGTCCAGCATGCACCTGGCCAGCGTGTTTGCAGGAATAGGGTTTGGAAACGCCGGGGTTCACCTCTGGTAAACGTCACAGATGTGCTTTGCTGTAACTTGACTTCAGTTAGAGTAGAGTAGAGAGGAGTTTATTGCCATATCTACACAATACAACCATGCCATACAACACCACACAATGTAGACCGTACATTACAAACAAAATAAATAATAACAGAGCAATAAATATGTTGTGGAGAACAATAGACATGTTAGAAAAGTTACAAAAGAGACTTCTGCATCATCCACCTGTTGTAGTGGATGTAGTGGATTTCTGTGTTAAGCTGCTGTTGCACTGCAATTTCCCTCACGGGATCAATAAAGTATCTATCTAGTAAATTAAAATGATTAAATAGTACAGTTCGATTATATGCTTGAAGTAATCACTGTTGTACTCAAATATTGTGACCGTTGAATTAACTAAGCAAATTGGTCTTTTCTCTTTTCATGAAGCCACGGAATGTCTTATCCTATTGCCGGACACGTGAAGACTTTCAGAGCAGAAGGCTATAACGTGGACCATCCCTTAGTCGTATGTTGCTTTTTTTCATGTACGTTCGCAGTATGGAAACTGTACTGTAGGAGGGGCCATTGTTCGAAACCTTCCTTCATTAAAGATCCCTTGGCACTGTGTGTAAGAGTAGGGGTGTTATTCTAGTGTCCTGGCTAAATTCCATGATGGGTTTTCGCAGTCCAGCTTCTCGAAACTATTCCCTTAATTCAATTGTTGATGTAACTCCTCACGTCTCTACCTGAGGTGCTCTGCTGTGTTTTAATGTGGTTCCTGCATGTCACCCAGGTCCACAAGTGTCTCCCTTTCCAAGTGTAATGTGGGAAGAAAAGGTCTGTGCACATACACTAAATGCACATAAAGGAATTGTTGCCGTTACCATCGATGATATATTGAAATTACGTCCTTTGAAAAGAGGATGTTTGGTCGAGTTTTGAGCTGACATGAACCAATGGTATTTACAGAGTAGGTTTCAACAGAAGGGTCTGATTTTTGAGACTCCTCAAAAGTGCCATTTTAAAAGTCTGGAGGAATTGAACTGTCTCAAGGGGTATTCAGTATTTTCTTCAACAGTCAGGCTTGTCACCTCTCAGCATATTCATCAAAGATCTCATGGAGAGCAAGCTGGGGTATGCGAAAAGACAAATTCCAAATGCAAGAAATTGTATAGGGCTAATAAAGTGATCTCAATCTCTTCACTGTCTGCTGTGCTGAAAGATGGATTGATGTTTTAATTCTTAATTTTAATTGACCTGTCTTGGTCTATGTTACATCAGCACAAGGCTCTTGTTCTTCTGCTGTTTCTGCCAAATTATATGTTCAGTATGTTCTGTAGTATTTCTGTGTCTTAATAAAGTTTTATCCTTCTCTTCGCCTGCAGCCTCATGGTCTGTCAGTGGTGCTCACTTCGCCTGCAGTTTTCACCTTCACAGCCTGCATGTGTCCCGAACGTCACCTGGAAGCAGCAGAAATACTAGGTGCCTTTGTACATACCGTACAGTGCTGTGCAAAAGTCTTCATCCTCTTAAAATGTTCTCCCATTTTTTTTACATTACAAAAGCTTAATGACAGGCTCATTGCATTTCTTATATCACTTTTATTAGGCTGATATTTTGTTACACCTTGATATTTCAGAATGGATGACAGATGTGTCAAGTCACTCTATTTCGTCTTTTAATTTTAGAAACAATACCAGCAGCAGGTTATCTAATTCAAATTACAAAGGAATATGCGTATACTTTTTCTGTATATAGTAATAATAGATCAAAGTTCATTGCCTGCTCCTATGCACTGGGAATTTCTATTTAGCAGATTCATGGTTGAGGTGGCACATTGTGGGTTTGTAAGATATTCCCTTGAAGTCCTGTAAAGGTTGAATTAGGGTGTGGGTGTCCTCATCCCTTGAAAAGAGAACATGTCGTTTTTTAATATATTGCTTGAGAATATTTTATTTTATATCTCCGTACTCTTCGTTCAGATGGAGTTGTGTGTTGCTTTCAACAACATCCTGCAATGTCAATAAATGACTAAACTTGTACGATTTCACAGAGTCAAGAAGAGATTTTCTCTCCTTAGTGACCTAAGCAGACTGGTTTCTGTCTCGCTACAGGAGCTGATGTCCGGAATGCCAAGCAGGGAGATGCTGGGCTGATTTTGTCAGACGTCCTGAGGAAGTTTTTGTTTGATCTGAATGTTGATGATGGCTTAAGCGCCGTTGGTTACACTACAGATGATATTCCTGCCTTGGTTAAAGGAACTATTCCCCAGGTAATTTTGAAGTTACAGTGTATTCTCATATTATTCACCTAATTTTATATTTCATCTCTGTGAACATATATAGTATAGGGTAGTAAAGTTGTTAGTGTAAGTCCCAAAGCGTTTTGTTATATTTTTATTTTCAGAACGTCTGGTATACTCTAATAAACATTATGAACTTTATTAAACAGTAAATTTTACTACCTCATACAATTTAAGAAAGATTAATTATATTTCTTTGTTCCAAACAATCTCAAATAGTTATTGGATATTAAAACCCATGAATACTTTACTAGACGATAACTTTTTGTTACAACTTCGAAAACCTCCTTGTATTGTTTTTATTAGAATGGTTACTGCCCAGTATTGCAGTTTTTCTACTTACAATGCAGAGTCCTGACAATCGGATACTAGACTATCAATGCTGTATTTGTTTTGTAAGAAATTTAGCATTACATCCTGCCAAGTTTAACATAGTAATTTAATCACTCCTTCTATAGGAGAGAGTGACCAAACTGTCTCCCAGAGCCCACACAGAGGAAGACCTGACAGACCTCTTCGAAGCCTCCCTGAAACTGTACTGAAACAGAGACACTTCTGCCCTCTGTCAGCAACTACACATCTGCATTGCTAAGGATTCATCATTGTCTGGACCAAGAGTGAAAACCAGTAGCAATTACAGTATTGGATAATGGCACACAGCTCTCAACACTACATTCTAGAGAAAAGCAGAATGTTCATTTTGTCCTAATTACTTTAGATTGTTATAATACAATGATTTCTTAGAACTTAGCTTAAAATTTAAGAGAGGGCGCTCTGAGTCCTGGGTCAGACACATTATTGCACAACATTACTTCTGAATGAAATAAGCTATTCAATTATACTAGTAGTCATAATTAGGATGGTCAGACTGGCGGTTTTTTCATAAAGAACAATCATGTTACATTTATGTTATAATTAAACTGTATCCCCCTACAGGCAGTAGGTGTGGTCTGGACCGGGCTGTCACAGATTCCAAGATTGGTTCTCTGAATGTACTGCCAGCTTCCAGTATCCCAGGCATCTGCTTTTTGTGTCTCTCTCCCATTCATTACCCAGCCTTCCACTAGCTTACCGAAAAACCGTGAACAAAATGAGTTCGTCACAAATAAATTTGAAATGATGCTTGAATATGTTTGGCTTTTATTTTTTTTTTTATTTTGTGTCAAATAGGTGGTGCAGTAGTTAGCATTGTTGCCTCACAGCAGACCCTGGGTTTAACTCCTGGGGTGCTGTCTGCATGGAGTGTGCGCCTTTACCCATGACTACATGGGCTTACTCCAGGTACTCCGGTTTCCTTCCTGTGTCTCAATTTGTGCTGTTCAGGTATCAGTATCTCCAAATGCCTGTAGAGTGTTACTGTAGGAGCTGATGTGAGTCTATGTGAATGCCCTGCGGCAGGCTGGCATTCTGTCCAGGGTGTAACCCGCATCTCAGGGTGACTGTGGGCCACCATGACTGTGATTTGGATAAGCAGTTATGTGAGAGTGATGTGATTGTTATATATGGAGTTAACTGTTGCAAATGAGTTGGCTGCAGGGTGTTTTTTTTTTGGTCAGTGCAATGTGGTAGTGCAAAATCAGGATTAACTTAATATACAGGTATACCTTTCTTTTGTGAGCAGATTTGCTGTGATCCAAGACGACAAAATAACCTGGACCACCAGCATTCATACTGTGTCTCCAGAGCCGCGGAAGAGCTTTCAAGCAGACCTGATTTAGTAGAGGAGAACTTTAATCACTAAATCACAGTTTCTTGTAGTTCCTAAATCAAAACAATTGCATTATCATAACACCCAGATTTTTACATGGTGTAATAAATTATAATTATTGTCAATAATATTTATCAACAAAATGTTGCAAATAAAATTATCCTTTCTAATCATTTTTGCATTCTGGTCAGTCTCTGCGAACTGCTTGCAATTCTGCCATCATGTCTCTCAGTAACAGACCTTGAAAAAAAACTAAAAAAATACAATATATTAACAGTACAACATATTATTTTAAGTTAAACACAGTATGTACAATTACAGTAGCTTTCAAAAGTATTCACCCCCTTTGGTCTTTTTCACATTTGATTATTTTATGATATATCATCTTAAGTGTGTTTATTTGAGATTTTTTGCCATTGTTCAACACAAAACACTTCATTATGTGAACACAGAATTCTACAGTTCCTCCTAAATTTATTATAAATACAAAGCAAAATATGTATTCACCCCTTTGAGTCAATATCTTGTATCTCAACCTCATGTCCAATCCTACAGTTTAATTCCAAGGAAAACAATTTATAAATTAGTAATAAATTTGCCTATGCATACTGTATGTATTAAGTCAAAATTCCCCCATTTGGGTTGAGGAATATCATAAATGTTTGGCCTTTACATTCATGTACTTGAACATTTCAGTAATTTAGTTATAATGAAAGTTTCCCAATACTTGAAATCACTGGATGGAACTGACTATTCTATCAATCTAGCTTATTGCAAATATCATCCTTGTCAACTTAATGGTCACAAATAAAAATTAATCTAATTTAAATAAAATAAAACCTGATTTTACTTCGGAGTTCCAGTATTTTTCGGTGGATCTTTTTTATTGTTTTTTATATAAGGTATTTTTTTTAGTGTTAAAATTTAAATATCTGTATCCCTTCCACTGAGAATCATCTTTAAGATGTTACTGAAATGAAAGAAAATCTGTCCTAGGAAGCAAAACCATTTTGAGATGCCTTTGAAAGAACTGACAAGCGTACAACAAAGCATGTCGAACAGGTGTCAGTTTCTAAAATCTGAATGGAGCTGTTTTCGAAAGCCTCTTTTTCGCTTTGAAAATATTCCCCTGGAAAACAAGAAGCGTGCAGTATACTTCTGTTACTGCTACTCCTTTGATGGAATACCTTCGCTTGTTCCTGTTTTAAGAGCCATGACGAGTTAGGTATTGAACTACCACTTGTGTTGTTGAGCAATAAATAGAAGATGATTAATCTTCTAACAGAATTACTCAGAAGTGAAGTTAATTTAATCTAATATTAAGAAGATTAGGTCAGAGGATTACTGGAAGACTGTTATGTAAAGAGAAGCTTTGAGCTAAGAATGTCTTAGGGTGTTTTACTGCCTTTAACTGGTTTAACATTTCACAGCTTGCAGAGGTGATGGGAGCAGTATAGACCACAGGAGACATTGGCATTGGAACAGAGGTACTGTACAGAGACTTTTAACGCCTGAAGGCAAGGAACACAGAGACCGGCCCAGCTAGCCGGTTCAAACCGAGGGGAATGTAATACAGCCCGCAGAGGATTTCTAGTGTTACCTGAACGGAGACTGGGGAAATAGGACTGGGTGGTACCCCTCTCCTTCAAGTGGGCCATCAGAGACTACAGGCACTAAGGAGAAACGTTCGAGTGGCCTCTCCTCAGTACTTTACAGGGAAGACTGCTGTCCCTCCGGATTCGTTATGACCCTGGGAAGGACCTTTTGGTGCTGCGAATGCTGTTTTTGTTGTGTCTTTGGGTGACAGTGAATGTAGTTAGAAAATAAAAGGGCACTTATACAATACAAATGCTTGTCGCTGGTCTGTGTGTGCATTGGTGGTTCTGGGAGATAAACAGAACTAGAAGGGTGACAGTTCTGGTTCTCCAAACTTGGACCCTCAATCAATGTGGATGGATGAGAAAACGCTGTTCTCTAAATTTTAAACCCTTTCAGAAATGCTTATTGCAAACAGTTCTGACTGTTTCATCTGTTTTATTATATACCAATTCAAATCCAAACCAGTGACATCTATGGTCATTTACTCGGATATCCCTTGTTTCTTGAGGTTTAATGTTGTTGGTTATGTTTCTTTTGAGTACAACCATGCGATTTCTTCATTCAGTATCAACAGAATGGTAAAACATGGTGGTCACTGCATGTAGGGTATATACAGCATATAGATGATTTTAAGGTATGTTTGCCCAGATTATTAAAACTGAAGCTTTTAAGACAAAGGTCCTTAACAAAGGTCCTTTCTTGCGTTTCATGCTAAGCAGTGGCTCCAAGCTTATGACCTTGTGTCTGGTGTTGGGGAATCACTTCTCTTGACTTGAGAATCACCAGGCTTTCTTTGTTCATGGCCAAATGGTTTTGTGGCCATGTCTTCTCTCTCCTTGACAGAGAGGATCACAGTTCCTCTAGTCTTTGTGGAGCCACAAGGAATGACGAATCTCCCTCTATTCAGAGAAGCAGGCATGCTGACGTACTTGTGAGCAAGAAATGGCCATGCATTCTGAAATACCAGATAGTACGACTTACAGATGAAACCACTGGACATCGAGACTGAACTGCCTTCTCCTAAAAAGACACTCTAAACTTAGTGTTATGTTGGCATGCTCTTGAGATCCAGCGCAGCCAAATATCTTCAAATATTTTAATATTTAAAGACTCCCGCCAGCTGGCCCAGGGCACAGGATACCCGCCAGGTAAAGCCAGGAACGGAGGAGGTGGTGGGAGTGACGACTATCCTTGTCGCCAATGTTATATCGCAAAGCAGGCATAGGCTATATGAATATGTTTGGCACATGCCTGCTGTTTATTGTGCATTTGACAGAGCTGTCATGGGCAGACAGTGAGCCGTCGTGACCCCCATTGTGTCGTAACACGTAACACACTATCTCCACATTGGCACTAGCCAATAAGCACTGTTGGCACAACATTAACTGGCACTGTGTGCTGACAGTCCCAGCTGCAAGATACATGAGTCAATGGAGAACGCATTCCCTTTCCTACAGCATCAGTTCTCAGTGCTGCCCATTAAAGCAGGTCTCACAAGTGCATAACCACGAGAAATATTTCACAAGTGACAAAATAGACTTTTTGAATATTTAATAGGATCAAATTGAATGATCCACTTCAGCAAAGGAGATCTGTATGAAGCAGAATCTGTGCCTGTTGGTGGCGTGAGATTCCCTATTGGAGTTGACACAATACAGTCTCACCCTCCTGAAGGGCATTTATAATCTTGAAGAGTTTTATTTTAGCGCAGGTACAGGTTTCTAATTGGTTGGAATTAGAAAGAGGAGATACAGCCAGGAATAGGAATAACAGCAAGGTTAATTACCTCTAGAGTGCCACTCTTGCGAGATTTGGAATCTCAAGTAATACATTTTTGATCTCAGGCATGTAGCTATCAAGATCACTTTCTGTCCCAACAGAAGTCTAAGGAAAATACAGCATAAGGTTTTCATGAGGTAGTCTTTTGCCATGAATGTATATCTGCAATTTATCCATTATCAGATGGAATAATATTGAAATAAATACATAGCAATGATAATCTTTGTATTTTATACATTGAAAATATGTACCTTCCATCAGGTTTTGAGTGGGTAATTGTGTGTATAGGACTAAACAAGGCTAATTAATTAAAATTCATCTTTTTGGAAGATGTTCAATTTACTTATTATCACGAATTTTATATATATTTTAAATAAAAAATATGTAACCATGAGTACAAGGGGTCAGAATGATGTGTTTGCTATGGTATAAATGATTTAGCTTACTTTATCTGGCCAAATTTTTAATGTATCACATGAACAAAATGTGATACACACATGGATTGATATCCATCACTTCTTCCTTGTAACACCAACATTTTTCAATTGCTGCAGATTTCACATGGAAAGATCACATTTTTTCTTTTTACTTCACTTGAACTTTCTTACAACTTCCCAGAACAGTGGACAAGGCAATGTCTTGATTTACCTCTTGTTTTGAATCATCTGCAAGCTGAATTAAATGCTGTTCTTGTACCAGGTATCAATTGATTAATTAACACAATAAAATAACTCCATCGTGCATAACACATTATTCATTCAGACTCTGCACACTGACAAAGCAATAACTATGAACTGAAATTGTAATAGGCATATTCAGCACACTCTTTCATGCAGCTATTAATGTAATTAAAATTAGAAAGTTAAAAACTGAGAATAAAGATCATTTTGCTATTTGTCCTTTTCCAAATAGTACTACGATATCTCAATACAATCTGTCCTTTTTTTTTCTTCGGTTTTCCCCTTTTTTCTTTTTGCTTATTTTTTGTTTTTTTTTCTGATAGATACTGTTTGACTGCTTGACGCTGGCACAGTGGAGAGCAACAATGTCTCTTTTCAACAATGAAAATCTGTCTCCCATCTGTTGACCAGTCAATAGCAAGAGCCCAATTAATTCATTCAGATCTTCTCCCACCCGAGCCTGATGCTATGGAACACAAGTCACTGGGCTGAAACATGGGACATCATAATTCTAAAATCAATCAACCTCCATGATAGAGAAGCATTAATTCTGGGATTTCAGAGATTTTTTGTTAAAGTGTCGTTTATATTTTTATTAGAGTGAGGTTTAAATATTGCTCGTTTTCAAAACTGTCTTCTTGCAAAACTTTAGAAATATTTATTCGATTTTTCTTGAACAGTGACAGACCTAAAACAGACTTAAGGATTAACCTAATGATTAAGCAAGAGTGGATTGTGTTATTTTGATTTTACAAAAAGGTACTTTTGGTCTGTAGTTTAAATCTTTAGATGCCGAAAATTTTTAAGTCACTTGTTGCCTGGATCAATTTATTACAGAAATTCTGAATATAGCAGAGAATTGTGTAAATTATTTTGATTTCCTAATAATCATTTGTAATTTTGAAAGAGAAATTCATTCTAATAGTGCCATTGTTTTAATTTAAAAGCCTGCTTTTTAATGCGACTTGATAATGATCAGTTATAACAACAATACAGACGCAAATGCAAGTGTAAAGGATTACACTGAAGTGAAAGTTCCTCTGAAATGCGTTCGCGTTACGTCTTAAAATGAAGGAGACATGCAATGTTATAATTTCTCTGTTACCTTTTTAATATAGCAAAAGAATATTTTGCCCTTGTGTTAAATCCAAATTAACCTTTTCCTTAAATGTAAAAAAATCTCCTGACCCAATAATGCCGTTTATTGTAATTCTACGTATTTTTTATTTTAAGATTTGAATATTTTGTCATCGTGATAATGTCAACAGAGGTGTTACACCCAGAGAACTGCGATATAGCATACCGCAATTTCTGACTTTATTATATCTCTTTATTATTATTATACGTTTTTGCTTACAAGGGTTTACAATCACACACGTGTTTAGCCTCTGTTTGTTAAGTCGAAAACGATTAGCCATGCCAGTTCCGTGAAAGAGTCCACAAGTTTCTCAGCGCAGAAGCCCAGTGCTAGAGGCAGGTGGGAGGGTAGCGTGTGAGTGTCTTAGGTCTACGTGTGGAAAATGTGCAAACGTGGACAGCGATCAGAGAGCAGCCCTGGATTAGTGAATCCCGGTTATTTAAAGCCCGGAGCCGGAGCATCGCGCCCCGGCAGTGTCGGGCAGGTGGACGATGGATTACATCTACAACAGCAGCCATGGGCACTTTGAGGTCTTCACCACTGTGTTCTCTCCTAAAGGTGAGAAGAGGCAGGAACCAGACGTGCGAGGTCGACCCTTGGGGCTGCATGGTGGTGGCGGACATCGCGCACGCAAAAACTGGACGTTCTGAAATCTCTAAAATCACATCTTTCTCTTTTAAGGACGAGGGTGTATTTTATGAAAATAACATGCCCGGTGGGAGTAATATGGATGGCGCTTAAAAACACTGTAGAAACTGAATTAATTTGCTTTGTTCTAAGATGAATGGATATCATTTTGCTCTATTGGTAAAAATGGTTTTCTTATTGTTCTTAATATTGATGTCACTGTTTTAACCAGTCAGAACTAGTAACTTTATCCTAGGACCTAATAATGATTCACGCTACTAGCCAACTTTTTATATAAAAGATTTACAGATTTTCTATATAGGAAAATGTACTATTTTTTAGGATGTAGATGTAGATGTTTTTAGATAAAGTAGATGTTTGCTACTTTATCTGAAATGATATGGATTTGTTTCCTGGTACATTGCTTATTAAGACTATTCTTTCTATCAATGCAAACATTTAGTACAAATGCAACCACATCTCAAAAGTCTGAAATTGTTTTGTAAAAAGTTGTGGGAATGTTGTATAGTAATCGCAAAGGCACATTTTAATTTCAAATTATTTTTTACTCTGTAGAGTATACAAAAGTAAAGACCATTGCAGTTTAATATAACACTACCAAAGCTGTGGCTGTTTGATTCCAGATCCTGCATACTCTGAGTATGCATACTGAACTCAGATAATAATGTTATTAGAGCAAATATTTATTGAGCTTGTAGTTTTCCTGATTTTCATGCACATTTATAAGCAATTGAATCTAGCGAAAGTCCTCAGCTATAGAAGTACTAGATGTTATCTTTAACTTCTCCAAAAATCCTGATGGAGCTTGTCTCCCCGCAGTGTGCAGGAATTCAAGAACCAAACCTAATTACGGACAGAAAGAAAGAAGAGATGAGGTGAGTCATGTTGTTTGTTTCTGTAATAATCAATAAAAAGAATATAATGTAAGTCTACAGTTACCGTGGTGTAGAATGACAAAAGTAGTGACTGTGAAGAAGGACATTTCCGAAAAATCGTGGTTGAGCACTTCTCCTTACTGAACAAGGTGAAAAGAACTACAGAACCTGCATATGGTTTCTTTCCTTAAGGTTACAAGATGAAATCATTTTACCAGTTAGCCTGAGCTGCAATCATTGTCTTAATCTGTAGTGTAAATATTCATTTAAAATTTGCCTGGAATACTTGGACATCAGCACATAATACAGGTTTATAGAGAGCTTTAACTGCTGGCAGCTCTAAAACTGAAACTACAGTCCTGACCAGTGAAGCTGACAGCAGTGCACAAGACATGGGAGGATAGGATGATAATGTCACAGGCTGCCTGGAGGAGAGGTAGTGTTGAGCAGAAAACTGATGTTTCTCTTTCTGACTGCGCTGCAGGTTCACAGCTCCTCGACATTTTGAAAGGGTCGCTGTTGAGTGGAGTGATGTGGACACGTGTGTAGGCGTGAATTCATATGTAAAAAGTCTTCAAGCATAAAATGTACAGTACGTGGCAGGTATAAGCATAGGGAATGAAAAAACGGGGGCTTTTTCCTTGTTCTGTTTTTAGAACAACAAAGTACTGTATTTCTTTACTCCCCTATCCTGACGATTCTATTGCTTATAATTGTTCATTGACCTGTCGTAATAACTGCTTTAGCAGGTTGGGCTGTATAGGTGTCACAGTGCTATTTATATTTTGTAGTTAATGTTTGTATTTTGTGTTCTTATTTGGATTTTTTTACATTTTCACAGGACGTTGTTGCACTCCTCTGTCATTTTCTCTGTTCATACTGCCTTCTGTTATTAAAGAGTCTCTTAAACCTGAAGCTGCCGAACTGTGATATACTGTAACTATAAAAAGATATCTCACAGGCTGCTGTCCTGGCTGCTCTTCATATTCTTATGGTTCTTCAGTATAAATCCTTCCTCTAAGTCACCTTTAGCTGGCTTGAGAACACAAAATACACCTTCATGTTGGCATGGCTGTATCCCTTACAGCTCTTTAAAGAGACAATAATCCTGAACACGGTCCCTTGTAAGATGTTTATACTCCCTGGTCTCTGGGCACAGTTAGCTGTCAGTTTAATGAGCCCTAATAAAAACAGAATAGCTGTTGTGGTTTTTATCTTTTAGTTCATATTTGCAAAGATCTCTAGATAGTTCTGTATATCTTATGAAATGGCAAGAGGTCATCATTCTGATAATATCAAGAAAAACACCTATCAATTATCTTCAAAATTTGGCTGCAAAATATATTTTATCAGCATTTGAATACAAGCACGGAAAAAATGGTGCAAGACCCAAGCCAATATGATGTTCCAGAAGGCGAGATATTTCTTTCTTGGCCTTTGTGTACAAAAGTGGATTTACTTTATAAACGTATAGAGAGCTTGTCATTACATTCAGAGAAGGATCAGTAATCTGCACACATTTAAACATCTAATCCTTTTCACTGAGATAATATTAGCAGAATTACTTGGTAAAGGCAATTAGCCTTTTCAGTAAGACTAAGCTTGTCCTCGCGGTCACATCACACATCTATTGAAGGACAGATCTCCTTTCCCTCAATGGTCTTCATACCCCAAAGTCTCTATTTTCAAAATGCCTAGACAGTTGAACTGTTATTGTTTCTGACTTTAATGTAGGGCTGGCCCAAAGTGTATGAACACAGATTTGTTATTCCCAGTTCTCTTTTCCAAAGACACTGCAAAGGAAGTTTAGAAAGCAATGCCACATTTTCCTTTCCATCTCTATCTGCTTCTTCCAGTTCAGGGTCGCAGGGGAGCTTGAGCCTATCCCAGCAAGCAATGGGAGCAAGGCAGCGAACAATCTGGACAGGACACCAGTCCGTTTCAGGGCAGACTTTTATAAATACAGACATGCACACACACACAGCAGGGCCAGTTTTGCCAGAACCCAGTTAACCTACCAGTATGTTTTTGGACTGTTGGAGGAAACCCAGAGAAAACCCACATAAACAAAGAGAGAACATACAGATTCCACACAGACAGCATCCCAGGTTCAGAATTGAACCCAGTGCCCCAGCACTGCAAGGCAGAAATACTAATCACTGCCACCCATGTTACATTTTAGTTAATATATTACTGTACATACATGGGAAAAAGCAAAGGTTAATTCTGTTCCAATTCTTTCAAGTCACTCACACCTGAAGAAGGCCAGACAGCCGAAACACTGTGTCTTGGAATTCACATTATCTCAAGGAACAATCCTACTTAAACAATCAGTAAAACTATCAGCCCAATATTAAAACATAAACACAGTTATGTATGTTTCCTACGAGCTACTGATGTAAAATTTAAATTTAAATGATTTCATTGTGTATCTGAATCCTCCAATAATATAAAGTGAAGAAGAATGACTCCTCTTTCCACTGTCTTTTCAAAAATCTAAAGGAAGAAAAAAAGTCTTCACATAAATACTAACTTTTGCAGACACAGGGAATATATCATGCTTCAGTCATTTCATTGTGTGGAAAGAACTACTTTTCACGTAGCCAAAGGTAATACAAGACCAGTATTTCTAATTCTTCAACTATGTGCCTTTTTAAAAAAAATGTATTTTAATAACGTTTCTAAATGATACAATGCAAAACAATCATGCAATAAACAAGGCCTGAAAATGTCGGATTTTTCAATATAGACCGAAAGGTTATAAAAGGGTCTGCCTCCTCTAATATCCCATGGGTTTCAGTTCTTTTTCTGTCCAGTAGATGGCAGCAGTGCTCAGTTCTTTTTCTGTCCTGTAGATGGCAGCAGGGCTCAACTACACTCCCCACTGGCCAGATGAGCTTGAACTCTGTCAGGGTGATGTCATCCCTGTTCTCATCAGGGATGATGAAATGAGGTGGTTTGGGCGCCAGCAGAATGGGCAGCAGGGCTATTTCCCTCCTACTTGTGTAACCAAACAGAGTGAGTTCACCATTCCCAGTTCAGATATGAGTTTCTCAAATTTTGAAGAAAACATTCACTACTTTGTATTACTTAAATACTTAAATGTGATGCCTCCTTACTTTCTACTGCATGATTTAAAAAGTCTGTGACATATTCGCTTAGCTTTTACCTCTTATCAGAATTTGTGGAATGCATTTAATTTCACACTCACTTTAAACTGTTTACCTTTTTAAATTAGAAGCAACACAAATGTACAAATGTTCTGAATTCAGGCGTAGATGTGCCCCATCAAAGAAAAGAAAAAGGACACATAATAGTTTTACATTTTCTGTATGGTTTCTGATTCTTCTGTCCTCGTATTGTATTTCAGTGGAAATGGACACTAATACCCTGATTTCTCCGTTTGCTGCTGTTGATGTTTTCAGATTATATAAATGAAAATTCCCGTACAGATTCACAGTTGCACAGTGACCTGACTTGGAGAGTTTCCTTCGCCAACACAGAGGGTTACAGAACTGGCAAGAGACGGCCCTCCATATTTGATGTAAGAATCCGGCAGTTTTTATTGATATTGACACAGCTCTCATTAGGATAAAGACTATGATTGTTTCAACCTTCATCAGAATGAGAATTATCAGAAATATAACTCACAAGTTACAGATGGCTGCTTCTTTTCTCATTTTTATGTATTCCTTATTTATTCTTTAAAAAATCAGTACTGAGGCACAGCAATTGTCTTTGATCAGAATGTACTTTTCCATGACGAACAGGACCAATGAGACTGTCTTTTCACACATCTGTGGCATGTGGCATTTCCAGCGCTTTGTTTTAAAATGAACAGCAGATGGCTGACGTATTACTTAACAGAATGAGAAGACCTGATAAACAGATTTTTTCATCTGTAAATAAATATAAAGAGATCTTAATCAGATGTGTTCAATTTTCAGTACAGAAATGCCCATCTTAAACTACTGGATGGAAATCTTAATAACTATTATATTTGTGCACCAAATTAGAATTTTAGACACATCCGTTTATGATTAATTCTTTAATAGCCTGGGTGTAAGCACACCAGGAAGTCCTCAACTGGTAGCTGTTCTCTTACAGGGCCCTGACATCATTGCAGGACGAAAAAAATATTTTTCTTCCTATTTTTAGCCGCGAGCTCACAGTGAGGCACACTTCAAACTGAACTGGCTTTGTGTCTTTTTTTCAGAAAGCCCAGCCATCGGCGCTCGTATCAAGCTCATTAAAGCTTGGGACAGCCCAGGAGCCAGCCACAGATGGCCCCGCTCATTCTAAAGGGTCAGTCCTTTTTTAGAGCAACAGGCTCTGCTCCCAGCTGCTCGGTGCGGAGCAGAGCTTCCCTGAGACTGTGGCTTGTCTCCCCCCCCACAATCCACAGGGATCACACTCAGAGCAGGTGGCCGGTCTCATACCTCATTAGTTTACAATACACAGGCGTGTCATCTGCAAATTACGCCCTCGCTCGAATCAATTTTTAATGCAAGGTTAAAGCCGAACAAAAATTCCCCGTCAGGATTGATGATCACTCATCCTTAGAGCTCTTTAGAAATCCTGCATCAGGACGTCTGCGGGACTCCTGCTCAGGCAATATGTTTTAAGAAGAACACAGGATACATTCGGGGGTTTTTTAAAGAATAGGTTGAAGCACAACAAAAAATGATAATTGATACTTCATTGTATTTATGTAGGGATTTCATTACAAAAGGATCCCAAAGTGCTTTTCATTCACCTCTGAGCTACACAGCAGATCAGGTGCAGAAGTAAGAAATCAAACTGTCACTTTCTCACTGTCAACATGCAATACATATCAACACAGTATCCACATTATCTATATTTTTAGCTTTTGTTCTGAAAGCTTCATTTATCTTGCCTGCTCCTTACATTGGTTCTGCAATTTGTGTTAGCCTCACTGTCGTTTTCCCCATTTATTTTTATCTCATTGTACCTGCCAGGCTAGTCTGTGTATTTACACTTAATTCAACTCTCTATATTGTAAGTCACCCTGAATCTGATGGGCAGATAAATAAATGATTCTCCAACACTAGGATTAGTAAATATCAAAAACTGCAAGAAAATGCAGTGTCAGAGATAGATAAAGTCGATCATGTAACTATTGTTTTCCTTAATTTATAAAAATGGTTAAATTGAGTCTGAAAACCATTTATTTGTATTGAACACCTTGCATATCCAAAGTCTATGAGGAGCCTAACTTTTTAAAAGAACATTTCTTCAGATCAGAAGTTTCAGAACCTAATCCTAGAGAGTTCTAATCTAATAGGAGTTCTAATAGGAACGTTTATAATGTAGATCACCTCACTACTTTCTAAAGATTGGGAACACCTACAGTATATGTTTGAGATCAATTAAACAAGTCCTGTTGACATCTTGAAATTTTGTTCCAGTCAGGTTACGGTAAGATCATTTCTTTGTTTGTCTTATAGACTACAAATTGGTCCTGGCCTTTAGAAATATGTGAGTTAATAGTGATCTATAAAACCTGCAGGACTGTATAAAACTAGCTCCAGTAGAAAGATTAAAGATTCCGCCTTTAGATTATATGATCTGTTTTTAATATTTTGATTCTGTGACCTTTGAAACATATAGGCATGAAGTCGATCAGTCCAAGGATCAGCCCGTAAAAACTAACATCTGAAATGTGTAAACAGATCAATTTGAAAACATTATAAATTTTAAAAAATGCTTGATTTCTAAGACATTTCTAATAATCGTACTTGTTTTCTTTAGGAAATGCTATTTTAAGGCTCAGTTAACATACAGTACTGATGTGTATTGACATTCATGTGAAATTTCTAAAATAAATGTATCCGTTTTGGTTCGTCAACTTTTCAGAAATTGACCACAGAGTCGTCATAATCTCACGACTCTGTGTCTGCTGCTTGCAGTCCTGCAAGTATAGGCAATGATGCCATCGAGAGCGATATCCAAACACTAACACTTCATCAGGGCAACCAAGGGTCTACTTCAGAGCTGAAACGTGGCTGGAGCTTAACAGTACTGTTGTAATCGTCCTGGAAATCTGTGGAATTTGGGTCACTCACAATAAACAGACCCCTTTATTCCATTTTTTTTTTCTATTGCTCGGCAGGATGTACCCAAAGTCTCAGCTGTGTAGGAAGGTTGGGTGTGGGCTGGATCTGGGGCCTGAGGCCTCTCTGCCCCTGACAGCAAGCATCTCCCACAGTTCCCCCGGCCTCCTGCGCAGGATTCGCCTGAAGCAGAAGGAAAAGGAGGAGTACCAAGGAGCCACAAATGCCGCTTTCGAACCGGACTGAGAGATGTGTGCTGCTGGAAGCTTTGGGAGGCTGCATCTGTAATTGTGAAGAGCACGCAGAAGGAAGTGAAGTAGCTGTTATTTTTAAGACATGACATCCTGCAACACAGAGCTCCTTTCAGGTAGCCGAGCACAGTTAACCTCTTGGCAGTTCACAGAGCTGTGCTGTTTAACTGGTTGTGTGACAAGGCCCCCACCTTCATCCTGCAGAAAGAATACAGAGCCTGTGGCAGTGCTCACAGACTGACCTGCTTTTTTAAGTCTTTTTTTTTCCAGAAATATCAAAACCAAAGAACTGTATATCTGCTTTGGCATTGTGTTCTGTTTTCAAGTTGGACTGTAACCTGCACAAGCTGTGCATACATTGTATTGTTATATTTATGATATATTGTAAAGTAACCTGAATTGTACGGTGTTATTCAATAGTTACTTCAAAGTATTTGAAGAGAAGTCTCATAAATGGAGGTTTCCAAGGATTAAAATTTCATTAAATGTGCATTTTTACTGTTCTCTATTAACTTGATTCAGTTACATTATTCATATTCTAAATCTATATCTGAAAATTCAAGTGGTCAAACATCCTTTTTTGCATGTACGTCCAGGTTATGTCCTTCTTGCTGTACGTAAGGCATGTCTGTATAAAAGTGTAATAATAAAGGTAGTCTGCATGTTGTGAATTAGTAATCCCCAAATTATTTTTTAGCAATAAATAACACCACTGTTATGAAGGTTGTCCTAGTAACGCAAAAACAAGCCTCACTAGTTCCATAAAGCCTAAAACTCTGCCCTTCAGCCCCCTGTTCCTGAAAGATCTTTTCATTCGCACGAAGCACTGCAGATACAACAGGAAATAAAAACCGGTTCTGACAAATAAGACTGATTTTTCTGTGCAAGACTGGAAAAAAAGCAAACTGCAGAAGAAAAAAAGTTGTTTCTCCATGGCCCTTAGACGCACCGCATCTCAACAGATTTGCCTTTTCAGTAGAGCACTGCTGTCCTGTGCAGGGTGTCGCTGTTTAAATTAACTATGAAACTCAGGGTCAGAAAGACTTCTTGTGGCCTTTAGCACTTGAGTTTGTATGCTTTTTCTGTCAGAAAGAAGAACCCACCTATTAAAGTCGGAATCCCGAATATCCCTTTTTTTCTCCACAGATCACACAGGGGACTAAAGAGGGAGTAGGAGCACAGGGATGGTCTTTATTCTTCTCAAACCAGACGAAAGGAAGAAAGGACATAGTCCTAGCTGGCTTACCACATAGGGAACCCCCAGAGAGCAGACAGCTGGCCACAGCAGAGTGGGTTTAGAATCGTCTGGGTCTGCCCGTCCCTCGGTTAGACTTTCAACTCCAAGACAATGAGAAGTCTAGCTGTGGGGAATTCTCTAAATACAACTTCTGTGGACAACAAGCTCAAAAGTCTGTTTGCAACAACGTGGGACAGACATCGTGAAAGATGGTGATGGGCTTTTCTCTCCTCATTGTAATAATGCTCAGATTGCAAGTGGAGCCTTGCTGCACTTGGAGTTGAAATGCGCCCATTAGCTGTCTGTGCTGGGTCTCAAGTTGCTGTTTGATGAGAAAAGGAGTTCAATGGCAGCCTAACCCCCCCCCAGCCCACCCCGCCTGTGGTATGGGCACCGTATGCTCGGTGCATTTGATAGGAGAAGGAACATGAAAGCACGTCAGCTGGAGTACATTTTATTCCTTATTCCTTGTGAGATTTTTTTAAGAAAAACATTTTCGTCACCTCCCCCCAGCAAGCCAGCTTGTGAGTTTTAGTCATCCTGCCTGCGGGTCTTTTTCCTCCTCCCCAGATACTTGTCCATGGTGCCACACAAGAAAGAATAACTGTCGTAAAAGCATACAGCGGTCTGATGCAGCTTCGCGTTCGCAAAGCAAGGTCCGACTCTGATTCAGTGTTGACGCAGTCGCGCCGAAGCCCATTCTTCACTGGAGAGGCCGCTGTCGAGAGCTGTAGGTTTCACCTGCCTTGCAGATGACGGCTCATTGTTTCCTTCAGAGCAGCTGCACAGCCCTGCCCCCCTGACAGCACTACAATCCTGCACCAGTCCCTCTCTGGAAGCTCTCTTGCACTGCTCACACACTACCTGTGTGTTTTTGTTCCTGTGTCCCCTTACACAGCAGATGTCACACCTGTTAATCGGCGACACAGCATCTGGACCATTTCACACCACGTAAAGCACCGATATTTAATATCGTCTTCCCAGACGCAGCCATTAGGAATCTATACAGCTATTTCTGAAGAGAGAAAATGTATTCGTTTCAACACAACACCTGCACGATGCTATGATCACGGCTCACCTCCATCTCGCAAAGGATCCATCTGCGTAGTGCTGGCAACTCATGTAATATATCACCTGAAAGTTAAGAAAAGCACATGACCCCCTTCAAATCCCAGCCCTAGCAATATATTCAATTCCATATAGATTTCAAGATATTGCTATTGACTCTTAAAGCTATGAGGAGAATTGCTCCCTCTGAGAAATTGCACACCTAACTGCACTATCTGGTGCCTTGATGAATACTACAAACTGGGGGGTGATCAACCCTTCTTCTGCCATACACTGGTGCTGCTGAACACTCTTTCCTGTGTGGAATTCTTTTCCAGCGACTCCCTAAGCCATGTTTACATGAGCACTGCTATAAAAATGTGTGTTGTCTATTGCACAGATACACTGCATCTCATTCTATTTTCATCTAATCTTTCATAAAGTTCCTTTAATAAAATCTTCAAGTGTGGTAGATTAGAAAACTCCTAAACAGAAAAGTGTTTATTACACCTGCTTTATTCCAGAGACTGTGCAAAATGTAAAGAAATGTGTAGTGCCGAAGATTTTCATTGAACTCTCTGAATTTTAGACTGTATATGTATTAAAATGGCAGTAGACGCATATACTGTATGTATAGTACACCCAGAAATATTATAAATGTAACTAATGCTTTGTTGCGTTTTTTAATGCCTCGCAGTATATTAAAAATGCAGCAGAGCCTTTTTTTAAGCATGTGGAGCACATGAAACTCAACAAGGTTACGTACATGAAACTGCAGAGCAGAGCTGAGGATTCTGCTTCGGAGGCAGCACACAGGTGCTGCTGAGAACTGACCTAGTTATGCTGCACTGGTTGCAGTGCTAAGAGTTTCAATTTCCCGCCAGAAATGACACAACCCTGTGCCTGTGGAGTGTCTGCCAGATGACTCCTCTGTCCAAGCGCTAATTGACTGCCATCTGCTGTCTGGCACACACAAAAAGGCTGACAGTGGTGGGAGGGAAGGGGCTGGCCTCACCAGGTCTCTCACAGCTACAGCCACACGCTAGATGCACATTACCCCCGTTCTGCAGAGCATGGCCTAGATCTCTATATTAGAGCCTTTCTGAACCCTAAAAGCCTGCAGCAGTTCCACCCACACCCCTGCTGAAGTCCAGCTGTATTTCTATGCTGGCCCTAGCCTTTGTGCAACATTTCTGAAAGACCCCATTCCCATTCACGATCTCCTAATGATAAGATTGATGTATTGTGCTTAAATTGTTTTTGAAATTAAATTATCCCTTCAGTATACAATAAGATGGTTTCAGAGAAAATTAGTACTTTTTACACATCAGACAAATGCATCATTTCACAGAATTTCAATTTTGCGCTTTTGGTGTTACATTAATATTTGCATTTTTGTAAGCTTCTCCGAAGAGGAACTACGAGACTGATAATTTGCCTATAATGTCTCCCAGTCAGATCTTGTCACAAGATGAACCTGAACATTAGACTTGGCAAAAAAACAAGAACCTTATTTTTTTCCCCACATACAAATTGCACAGATTTTTGTTTTCAAAGACAAATTATTTTTTAGTCATGACCTTGACTTTTACCACTTTCCAAAGGTTGTGGAACAGTGTTTTGACAGATCCCAGTGTCACACGTGCAGTGTGCCCACAAAAAAGCTTTGTGCTTATGTTCTAATACAAGCAATGTCCCAACATATCTTTCTGCTATGTTAACGTTCATAAACAGAGAACCTGTTAAATTACAATCATAAATAACCAAGTCACCTTTTCTAACCTTTACAGCAACAAAAACAGCAGAAAATAGCCCATTTACAGTACTTAGGAGAAAGTTGCAAAGACAAAATTGAAAAGAATACGGGTTGATAAGGAAGCAATGATTTGGTGCAGATGTGCTTGGTGTTTTGCAATGAATAGAATAAGGCATGTTAATACGGTAGTGTGCCCCTCTGTTCAGAAGCAATTGAGTGAACGTGCCTGTAAAACTAACAGACTTGCAGAACAATGAAGCCAAAAGGCATTATTTCATGGTAGAGTGGGTTGCGTTTTTTTTTTTTACTTAAGCAGCTGTCCTGTGGAGGGCCCTCTGGGCCACAGGAGTCATGGTGTCCCAGGAGACCAGGGCCTGAGCACCACAGGAAACTGGGCATAGCGCAATCACAGAGGCTCACAATCAGGGCATGAGCCAACACAGCACACCACACCAGACTGTACACAATGCAAACGCCAACCCTCTGACACACACATGTAGGTCTTTTTAAAAAAAAAACATACGACTTTAAATGTGAGAAAAAAAAATTTAAACTACTTGTATAAAGACAAGACCAATACTGCATAAAGTAGGTAATTAAGAGTTATTATAATTATGTATATGAAAAAATGGTTAAAATTGCTTATCTTTAAAAAAAAAAAAGATAATGAGCAATACACACTAGCTCACTCCTTCTGGTCCTTTCATTTTCATTCAAACAAAGCACACTGATGCACTCAATTTGTTGCTTGCAACATTTTATTGTTTAATATGAAGTACATGCATTACAATGGCTGTCCGTATAAGTTCTATGGCACTGGTGGATATGTAATGATCTTGTCTAAACTAAAGAATAACAGTAATTTTGGAGTATGTGAAGAAAACAAAATCGGCAAGAATGCTGCATTCTACAAATAAAAAACCACTGTGAAGAACATACTGTACGTATTTTTGTTCATGCAAGTTGCAACTGCTATATGTACTTCCCTTGAAACCTAAACTTCAGAAATGGGACATTACAGCACATAATGTAAAAAATGAAACATAAGATGATCTACAGACACCAAAAACATTAAATCTTTCACGCAAAAGCAAAACAGAAAGATGTTTGGTTGTTACCCAAGTTTCAACTAATGTTCACATCCGAGGTTGAAAGCGAAGTTGAAGTAAACAGGATTTAAATGGATTATAATAAGGTTTAGATGCTTTAGTTTTCTAGTGCTCTGGAAAGAAATACATTGCAAGGCTAAATCTATTTAATTTTCAGAGGTAAACCAGCTAGTGTCTAGAGATCTAGAATCTCACTGTGTTTAGAGGTTGTTTTTTACAACAGTGAGGCAATGAAAAACATAAAAAGGTTTACCATCAAAAACAATTCCCTGCAAGCTCTTTAAAACAATAAGGGCATTATAGCAAGAAATATTTTGCTAAAAACTACCCCAAAAAAGTTAAAAAGTTTCTAGGTTTGTTTTTAGAAACATCAGTACTACATAATGCATTGTTTTAATATGGTAATTTGCAGAAAGTAATAAAAATGCTGAATTTGGAAGTCATTATACTTAGCAAAATCATCTTTAACTTTCTCTAAACCACTAAAGCCTTTGAGCTTCATGGCAATGAACAATAGATGTACCAGACAGTCAACCAGTAGAGTTTTATTACTTCCATTCATGACTGATAAACACAGCAAGAACAAAACCCTACATACTGTACATGTCAATAACTTAGGCCCACGGTTTGCTTTATATTGAGGACCAAATGGGTCAAATCTTGTGTGAACTCAGATTATAATGAGAACCTTGTTTCCATCCTGCTTTCGATTGTATATGCAGCGGCACTGCATGCTCTCTCTTTCCATCTCTCAGTAGCAGCAAGCATACCCTGCTATTAACCATAGCAGCACATCTCAGAGGAGGAGAGGAAGAGTCAATATAAAATTGCTCACATACATATGACAGTATTATAGCTCTTATTTAAAATGTCAGTGTTATGTTCATGCACACAATTATATTCAGCAAACATCAACAGCTACTAATGAAAAAATTACAACAAAAGCAAAAAAAAGACATATTCAAACAACAAAAGTGCAAATTGCCTACATTAGACGTCTGAAGCAGAATGCTGCTACCTGTATAGAATGAGTCAGATTTGAATCTGTGAAGACCGAAATAAACATCAGGTCATTTTGCTACATTTAATAAGTAAACAATTAAAGAACTCCGACTACTGGTAAATGTGCTACTTCTACTATAAAGGAGTGAAAAACTGCTGGCAGTGAAAACTTTTTACAGATCTAAGTCCCAAGTGTTCAGAGATTTTACATAAAAGGTATCCAAATAGTTAAAGTTTAAAAGAAAAGTATATAAAAATTAATCTCAAAAATAAATAATTATTAAACATTTAATAAATAGAACCTACAGCCCTACACAATCAAAAAATCCAAACTTTGTTTACCAAAACATTTACAAGCGTTCCTGTAAAATTATTTAAAAAGGGATTGCAAATTTCTTTTGCAAAATAGTACAAAACATGATTAATTGCAGATAGTGCAATATCAGAAGCTCATAAGTTTAGAAATTGATAGACCAAAGGAAAGTTACAGGGTTTTGCTGCAGTGAAGACAACCAGGTTGTCAGCACAGGTCGTATTTCTTTACAGGAAACAGCAAAAACACTTCAAGATGTCCAACATACATAAATACCCACATTTAAGCTTTAAAGCAAAAAATAAATTAAAAAGGTACCTTTCCAATTTACAACGTTTCTCTGCAGTTATACGCTGTACAATACATTCAACAAATGTCTCTGTATGAGACTCCTAAGAGAAATACTGTGAAGGAGAACAAACTTCATTCTGTCCAGCTGACCTACTGTACAGCCACATTTCAAGTGCTTTTCTGTTACTCCTAAACATTGTAATAGCTCCTCTTCCTTCGGCAGCATACCAAAACCAGTAGTGCAATGTTAACAGTGCTTTTCCTTTCCTTAAGACTGTAGCAATCAATCTAGTTATCTTTTTTATATACAGGCAGTTATGTGAGCAGGGAGTTGTGTGCATACATACTGTATACATAAGCAGCTCCTAGTAGCTTGGCATGGAGCCTAAGTTCAACAACTTAAATGCAAATTGGATATAAAATATATTAATAAAATAACTCATTAGACTATATATTTTAAATGCTAGGTGATTGTAATATGTTAAAATTTGGTGTGGATTTGACCTTATTTGTTTGGAAATGCATTAGCATTAATGCCACCACACATTGTCTATGCCAGGTTTGAAGGTGGCAACACTAATCTTTTTGTGAAGAGCACCCTGTAGGCTCACTAAGACTTCTACATGCCCTCCTAGATTAAGTCAATAAATAATATCTACAAGCAGGTTTTGTTATCCTAAATGGAGAAGGGGACAATAAGTTCCTCTTCTTCTTGCCAATCCAGTATTTGTGTGTCATTTTAGTTTTACAGGAATATTGTTACTATTGAAGACATCCGTGACAGAAAAACAAAAATGTATATTAATAGGAATCATTTTTTTTAAATGTATAGCAGCTGCTAGCTTGAATGTACTCTGCCTTAGAGACACGTTCTTTCAAGGCTGAACCTGACAGCTAAAATAATTAGAGCATTAGCTTGCTGTAAAACTGTCTACAAAATATTACATTCCCTTATTTAGAGATCATCGTGTAAATGTAAGCTACTCTCCTGACTAATCCACACTGTAGTGTCGAGAGGTGCCAGTCATCTTGCACTTGGCCAGTGGAGCTGGAAATCAGAGCACAAGGGCTCTTGGAGTGACGGTTGTGTATGCGCTGAGATATTTCCTGGCCTGTTCTGTCATTATCAGCTGGTCTTCCGTCTTTCCATAAACAACAGCTTCCCATTCACTGTTTGTCTGTGCAGAAGACAAAAAAAAATGAGTTACTCGACAGTTAAATCTGTTTAGCAGTTTAATCTGTTTAACTATTCTGTTAAATGAATAACGAACATAAACTAGCACCGTTACAGCTGACAATTTTGCTTTACGAAACGTTAAATGTTACAGATGCATCAGATGTCCTTCCTTCACATTCTGAAACTCTGTGTGATCTTTAAAAAAATTTAAAAGACATGTTTTTGAGGAAGCTTTCCAAAGTTGTTTGCAGCGCAAGCCCAGTCAGTCACTTTTATCCAGCAGCCATATCACTCTGCAACTCACCACTAGCAGCCCACTGAAGCTCAGCAGGTGTGAGCCTGGTCAGTACCTGGATAAGAGACCTCCTGGGAAAAACTAAGGTTGCTGCTGGAAGAGGTGTTAGTGGGGCCGGCAGGGGGCGCTCACCATGTGGGTCCTAATGTCCCAGTATAGTGATGCGGACACTATACTGTAAACAGGCGCCGTCCTTTGGATGAGACATTCAAATCGAGGTCCTGACTCTCTGTGGTCATTAAAAATCGGTATTTCTCGAAAAGAGTAGGGGTGTAACCCCAGCGTCGTGGCTGAATTTCCCATTGGCCCTTACCAATCATGGCCTCCTAATAATCCCCATCTATGAATTTGCTTCATTACTCTGCACTCCTTCCCACTGACAGCTGATGTGTGGTGAGAGTCCTACGGCTGCCATCGCATCATGCAGGTGGATGCTGCCATTACCTGTAAAGCGCTCTGAGTGCAGTGTCCAGAAAATTGCTATATAAGTGTAAGCAATTAAATTAATTAATTTTGTACATCACACTCCTGCTGGCATTTCTGATCTGAACCCTGGTTGGAGTCAGAGTTGGAACCAGGATTGAGCTGCAAGACATTTTGAACTGCTCCCCTCAGGGGAAAAGAATAAGGCTAAACTGAGGTGCTTCATTGCCATGCCATGCAGAGTTTGCTCATTCAGACATCTTATTTTTACTGAGTCGAGTTCTTGTTAGGCCAGGAAAGAAGCAGCCCTCCAGGACCATGTGCTCCTAAAAAAGGCTGAGAATGCACAGATATATTTCTATTTCTAAGTCTACCAGTATAAAGCTAACACAATAAAATACACTCAGCTGTTACCCAGCAGTTTTGGGGGTTTCAGTCCATGGTGTTATTACCTAATCTTTGCTTTATATTAAAATTAAAAGTTGTACAGTATTGTGTGATATGAAATGTGAAATATTAGCTTTTTGTATGCACCATGAGCAAATAGTTTTAAAATGTCATTTTAATAAATTGTAATACTACCTGGAAATAGCAATGAGAATATACATGACTGGAGTAGCAAGAAACTCCACTTATAAATTTTAAATTTATGTTGTAAAACAGTTAGTTTTCCTTTTCTTGTAGAAACACTGATAGTTAATGTCTGAAAAGTAGAAATGTTTTTATTGAAAAGTATACCAAAAAGATTAATGCTACAAAACTCAAATTAGGGGCTATAATAGATTCAGCCATTTTAACTTACAAATTGATGGTCATCACTATTAATATTAACATTTAATAGTAGCATTGATATTAACGGTAGAATAAGAATGCTGCACAATGGTAGACACTGCATACACTTCTACTTATTTCTAAAGTAAATTAAATGAATATTAATTATTCCTAATTAAGTTTTTAATGAAAATGAAGCACTTTGTTCATTGATTTCCATCTATAACAATTTTAAACAAGTCTTAATACACTTGTTTAAAGTACCTTTTCTGCACTTTCATGAAATATTTGTATAGGCCAATAGTAAGCCACCTATTTGGTTTCAGGAACAAGAAAATCTTTATTTGTGCAAGCCTAGCCTATACCTCAATTCACAGTCAGTACAAAAAGCAATTTCAGCTGCATCTTTCCAGACGTAACCTCATTGCTTATATTTTCAAAATGATATAGACCTGTAAAATGTTCTTGATAGGCAAATGGCAGGATAGAGAAGTCTGAAGACCTTTTCCATTCTTTTATAAAGTCTTATTTAAGCGCTATAGCATAAATATGATATTTAAAATATATTTTTCCATATATATACTAATGGAAAAACAAAAGCAACATTTTCTGGAATGGAAATACTATAGTTATAGCTTATGTACTTTCACAAAAAGTTGTCAATTTGTTTTTAGCCCTCTGACCAGCAATCCAGCTTGAAGTGAAGTGAGGCATTGCAACTTGCCAAACACACAAAAACTCGTTAGGTGCACTTTTACACAACAAAGTCCAGGTGGAACAATGCCTGAGCAGGTCACCTTTAAAAAGGCCTTAGTTCAAAGCTTAGGTCACTGCAAGAAAAAGGCCACACTCAGTCAGTTTTCTGTGCATTCTATACCGCCTCGAATGTCACCAGAAGCAAGGGAGAGGGCCATTGGCATGCTGCAGGCAGGCTTGTCATGTGCCAGCGTTGCCAGACACTATGGAGTGAGCCGCTCCACTGTGTCCCGACTGCAGAGAAGGTGTCAGCAGACCGACAGGACAGATGACTGTCCCAGATCTGGTCACCCTCGAGTGACCACACCAGAGCAGGACCGACACATCAGACTGGTCCATCTGAGAGATCGTTTCAGATCTGCCACCCGTAATGCTGCTGAAACTGCTGGCAGACACAATGCCTGCATCAGAGCTTAGAGCAAGGCGACCTGTCAGAGGCCCTCTGCTCACACCTCCTAGTCGTCACACCCAACTGGCTTGGGCCAGACAGAGGCTGCGATGGACTTGTCAGCAGTGGCATCAGGTCCTCTTCACGGACGAGTCACTCTTCAGCCTGTTCCA